CAAGTTTTGTGCAAAAACGCATGATCGCTCCGGCTCGCCTGGTGCGTTCCAGCCTACGTTATTAATCCACCAGTCTTAAGACAACGACTTGCATTCACATGTGATATGGAGTGAATCATGATCCAAATGCAACTTACGTAGCGATGCGAGCTGAGTGCTGCGCATTGGCGAAGACGAAAGTTTGCTGTATTTCCAGATAATCATGCCGTTGCTCAGTTTCAAAAGAAACAATTGATAAATGTATGGATCGCCCGGGCACCGCTTCTATCTTGAATAAAACAATTTTTGAAGACTGTAACAATGGAAATTTTACGAATCCAAGCTAAAAATTAAGAGAAGCCGTCTAAGGTGGGTTGCAAATGAAGCTGAAGACTGTTTGATGCGGGCATGGCACTTCACTTTCTGATGCAATGTGTTGTAGAAATTGGAAGTATTTTTTTCAAAGTGTCGGAAGCTTTTTTTTGAAAGTATTTTTGGGAGTATTTTTTGGAAGTATTTTTCTTCAAAGTATTATGAAAAAAAATACTTCAAAAAAAGTATTTTTTTGGAACTAAGCTGGGAGTGTTTTTTAAAAGAACTTTAAAATACATTCTCACCTCATATTTACAGTTGAGGTTATTGCAGTAGCCGACTGGATAACCGGGACTTTTCAGGTCACCACTCGGAACATCAATGCCAAAATTTGCAGAACGGCATTTGCATGTTTGTGGTCGACTTCCTCCATTACCTGGGTCATAAGCAATCGTTTCATTTCGAAATCTGACTCAAAGATCCGAAAATTTTAAAGCTCTAAAATTATGATGGCTACTCGTCCATACAACACGGCAGAAAAATATACGTCTTATCCTAGTACAACAACAGGACTTCGTCAATTAGCGTTTGCATACAGACTCTGTCTTTTCATAAAATATTAAGTTATATCATAACATAGTATATTGTTGAGCCAAACTGCTGCATCGTTAGGTCATGTGAAATTGTAAATCTGAAAAGAACAGGCTCTTCCGTAAGGAGTAGTAATATTTTTTCATTACTGAACGTAACTGTGATAAATATGCCAGACAATCTTACCAATATTAGCTGCATGAATGACGGCGCAGAAGCAGTGAGAACAGCAGATGAGGCTTGCAAGCAAGATTCTACTGAGGTTCATGCTTGCTTCCTGCTGCTGTTGCTATCGCTCGTGCAAGCTGCGACGCAGAATAAAAGGAGAAAAATCGAGTGTTTTGGGGGTAGGTGTGAGCGACTTTGTTGATAATTTGTACTCGACCGAGGGGAGGACTGTTTGGCGACCCGATCTGATTGAACAGATCAGATTTCATCAAGCAATAAATTTTGAAGCATCTGCCATCATCGCGTCATCCCCTACTGCCGCGGCGTATGTGGTGGGAGAGGAAAATGAACAGCCTTGTTGAACTTATATACGATCGCTTCAGAGTGAAAAACATCTGACACTTAATAATTGTTAAAAACTGTTGGTTTTTCTAGATTACTAGAAGCTAGAAGCTGTTGGCCGGTAAAATACCTAAAGTAAAGTTAGGCTAGTCATCGCTGATCCGAATGATTCTGATCAACGTAGACGCTCAGTTCATCAATCTCCGTTATCATTACAAAAGAAATTCTAGCCAGGTTTGTTCGGGATTCTTGGACTTCCAGCGAGTGTACGCTTGAAATAACATGCAAGCGCGATGACCACTACTGTACCTCCTTCACTGCTAGTTCTGAAAGGTGTAAAAAAGCGCGAAATCACCAAATACAATATTACAATAAGACTCATCAGCATCGTCAGTTAACTCAAAAAAGAGCACTTTTTTTTAACTTGCCGCAGCTCAATGGAGGGCACATAAGCATCTCCCAGTTGTATGCATAATTATTACATAACACATCATGCTCAATCTGACCGTATTTCAGGGTAACTCATTTGGAATAGAAGAAATGAATCAAATGCATAAGTAGCGTCATCCGTGAACCATTCTAACCCGTCGCGAAATAAATTCCTTTTTGCAAGAACTGTGAGCAGGGAAATTTTGACGGGGAAATTGCTTGCTGATAAGCTACATCACTTTCAAAGAATGACCGCTAAACGGAAATTGTTCAGTCGGACTGCACCAGGCCTGCCAGACTATACTTTAAAGGAAATGAACAGCTTTCTTTTAACAGCAGTTCTTTGAAAATGGCCTGACTGCTGAGTGAGCAATTTTCTCGTTAAAACTTTAAGTACCCGTACGCGAGAACCACGCACATGTGAAAGGTGAATTTGAAATCTTTAAGTTGTATTTGGTCAGGGAACATTAC